AGGTGATCCCTTTCCAATACAGTCTGTTATAAGTTGCGTGGTGTTGCACTCGTCTAGTCTTCGGGGAGAAATGAATTTTTTTATATTTGGGAACTTTTCCGTACCTTAAGACTAGACGAATCTCGAACAGGGGGCGCTGGCGGCGGCGAGTGGTCATCTCTGCCCCCACCAGTCGCTGGAGCTGCTCTTTGAGGCCGTTGAGGGACGGCAGAAGTGAATTGCTGACCGGATTTCGATTGGTGTAGATTCGGCGTGGATCTGGATGGCATCATTGTAAGAACGTGCGTAGCACCAGGGCTTCAATCTGATTCGCCCTGAAGTCAGCAACTTTGCGTGGGTGTGCCATTGAAGCGTTCTAGCACCCAACCTGAAAGCAATCGAAGAATGCATTGAAAAACTTGAAAAACTCTCTGAATACAGCGGCGCAGCCACTTCGGCGACTCTAAAAGTCGATATTTTGCCGAGATTGTAAAAGATGATGCAGCAAAAGTGGCATGAATGTTATTACAGGATTTCTCCAATATAATTGGAACTGGCACATTTCTTAGAAACGTTATTAATAACCTGCTGAGTACCTATACAAAGTCCTTGCATAGTTCAGCTTGCCTGATTTCTCCATATCACTTTGTAGAAAATGTGTGTATCAAACGACCAACGCACTGTCTACTGCCCTGCTAAGACAAGAAGTCGTATGTGCAATTTTTCACTTTTTCGGCTTATGCAGAATACTGGTATAACAGAGTTTGTTTTACCTCCCAGTTTTACCTTTTGGAAGTCGCATCATCATTAGAGTACGGGTTTTCAATGATATTTATATGTCCTATCTGCAAAAATCTAACAGTTACCAGGTCAAAAAGTCGTATTGATAGTTACCAAGTCATATTGTCGTATCTGATTAAAAATATTTCAATTACGACATTCTGGCTTGGTATCTGTACTAAGTCGTAATGATCAAAAAGTCATATTGATAATTATTATTGAGTCTTTTTGTCGTATGACGTATATGCAAGTGTGGTTAGAGATATTATGGTTAGAGTTCGTTTATTAACTGATATTATTACTGCGAATATTTCCCTCGTGTGATAATCTGTCCGTTTGAAGTGTGCAATTATCGAAAAATTACAGCGGTAATTGCACAGTGTGCAATTATCACTCAACGATAATCGCATTGTTTACAAAAAATATTTGACAGGTACTTTCATGTTGAATTAGACATCAAATGTCTTCCTGACATACCTAAGATATTCAAATTAAATTTAATAAACAGAAGTAATAAAATTTAAAGGGTAATAAAATA